TCTCTGTGCTTGGACTGCATAAAACAGCTATTTGAACCATTTCAGTTATGCCAAGGATGCAGCTTCAATCATTACTTTCAAATTTTTTCCAATCTGCTTGGTTAAACACAGCTAAGGGCTCAGGCTAGTGCCTGCATACCTGTGCGTGCAGCCCCAGAGACGTGGGGAGACAGGACAGCAGCTGCCCCATGCATCGCACTGGGAGGAGGAGGTGGCACAGGGCAAGATGGGCTGTTGCTGCTGCAAGGTACTGCTTTATGTCAAAGCTTGTGGCTTCACCTGTATGGGAGGCTCAAGGTAGTTTGCACTTCAGGGCTGTGAAGTGACCTGCATTGACATTCACAATTCAATTTTGCATTGACCAGTGAGGGAAAACTGGTTAATTCACGGGGAACTTACTGGTAGCTACACTGGTACTGTTCAGCGTTTTGACAGTCCTCCAATTTCTAACATACTATGGCATTATAATGACTGTACTAACTAAAAGCTTTGCGCATGTCCTTTCTAAATACGCTGCAGTCAGGAAAACACATAAATGCGAGAAGAATGGTGGCCACACAGCTTTCAGCTCTCTTCTCCCTTTCGTCCCCAAGCAGAGAATGTTTGCTTCTTTTCCACCTTGTGTCCAGTCCTTCCTGCAACTCCGAAAACAGCTAAAAATAATTTGTCTAGTTCCATGCCTTGAGGAAGAGGTTGAGTTAAAGGGAGCCAGGCACTTCTGATCATCTAATTGTTGATAAGTGGCTCTTATCCATAATTGTTTGGCTTTCAAGTGTGGGGAAAATTGTTTTATCACAACACTTCACCTGAGAGCTATTGACTCGCAACTTCTTTTGGTACAGCTTTGTAGCTAGAAAAGGATACTCATGTTTGCAAATTGTGAGCAGAAGTTATGTATTCCATGCCACAGAAAATCCAATTCCTTTCTCAGAGAGACCCATATGTTTGCACTTACTTTCTCGCCAGGGAGTGAATCTGCAGCTGAGGCTCCAGTTGGAATAGACGCCAGCTGACGCGGCTTTCACTCTGCCATAGTAAGGCTCTTGGATGTCAGAGATCTCATTCGTTAGGTCACAGACATGTGTTTGAATCCCCCAGCAGTCGTCTTTGTTTTGCCACGTGCTCTGCCCATACCTTTGGAGAAAAAGGAGGAAGGATGTAAGCTTTAGCTATTGCCGACTGGGTCCGCACAGATTTTTAACCATCTGCAGTGCTGACAAGCATTCTACCGTGGAAGTTAACTCCCTTCAATTTGATAACAGGGAAGATTGATTTCATGGGCGTTTGGGAGCTACGAGTTTCTGTCTTTTCTGAAAGAAACCTAAAGCAGAGATGTGGGTCACCAGCCCTGTAGGAAGCCACTGCATACTTGCCCCTCGGGAGAGGCGGGCGAGCTTTGGCTTAGCCAGTGTGCTCAGTGATGGGCAGAATGCCGGTTTCCACCACCGAATTTCTCAAAGGCAATAGTGATTTCAGGTGCTCACCACGTGTGCCAGGGGCGAGAGCATACCTCCTCTGAGGACCAGCCCCTAGCGCTGCCTCAAGTTTGCCACGCAGGGCACCCTGCGGCACTTGTCATGGGCAAGGTGGGCCACCGAAATACCTTAAGTGTCCTATTGCAGAGGTACCTGACCTAGCTAGACCTGCTTCAGGCCGGCAGTTGGACCTGGTGACCTCCAGAGGTCCCCTGCAAACTACATTTTTCTGCAACTCTGTGGTGCAATGAGGGTGCAGAGCGTATTGCTGGAGGTACTTGTTCCCTGCCTGCCTTGGGGTGTTCAGCTGCAGCTTATGGGCTATTGATAAGCGCAGCAACAACCGAGAGCTGGCAGCTGAGCAGGACATGGCTGTTCCCCAGGTATTGTCCCCAGGGGAGAACATCCCGTGCCACCTGAGAAGTCCCTTTGACATCCCAAGCAAGGATGGTCCCCAGCCCAGCGGGAGGCTGGAGTTCCCCCGGTACTTACACTTTGTACTGCACAAAGTAGACTGTGCCTCTTGCCTCTCTGGCCCTCCCAGGCTGCCAATGCAAAGTGCTGTTGAAGTTTAACGAACGAAACTCTACCTTCTGCGGCTTAATCAAATCTTGCAGGTCTTGGTTTTCCAAAACTAAAATCGCTGCAAATAATAAGGAATGATAATATAATGCGCTTGTCACAGACACGCTCCTCCGTGTGGAAACTGAGGGGGTATCTTACAGCACATTGGGTTTCATGACTAGTAGGCTGCAGCGAAATTAAATCTCCTGGATTTCATGTTCAAAATTTTCCAAGTCACAGTGACCAGATCTAGCAGTTACAGAACAAACACATTTAGTATTATGAAAGGAACACTTTTATGTGGTTTGGTTTTGGTTTTTTTTTTCATTTTTCCTTAGCAAGTTTACTGCTGTAAAAGGTGCCTGAAGGGCATCCCAGGAAACAAACCCTTCGGATCAATTCACAGAGCCTGCAGTAAGCAGCCCCATCAGTAGTTAAAGTCGAGTGCCCTTTCCTCCACATCTCAGCTTTAACCTGCAGGGATTATAGCTGTTTTAACTGTTGCCACAGCCGTGTTTATCAGCTCTTGCCTAATAAGAAATAACCTGAGATTCACTGCTTTTCCAGTCTGCACTACTGGAAAAAGCTGCCTGACAATTTTCAAGATAATCTGTTTTCAAACTGCGATGGTTACTGATGACAGAATCAGTTAACAACCTCTCTGAAGCATCCAAATCCTAACATTTTTCTGGGTTTTGTGACCCAGATGACTGCAGCTTTATCCCTGGCATATCACAGAATCACGTAAGACTTGTACTAGTTGAACTGAAACTGGTAATACAGCCATGAATAAATTTAATGGGCAACATACTTGTTTTATCTGCATTTCAGAACCTTGAAAGACAAAATAACAGACTAATTTGGAAGTGACTGGACTTTTGAAACCCACCAAAAGATCCAGAGATTTCTTGACCCATCCAGAGATTCAATAACAGACCCAGCACCCCGCTCCCCACATAGGAAAAGAGCAGAAAGCCTTTACTTACTAGTTATCTCATCCTGAAGCAGGTGCATCAGTAAGCAGAGGGAGGAAAGCGTGATCCCCCTCATGCTTAGGAGAGCAGCTCCATGACTGAAGAGCATCTCTCTTCCTCTTGGGCATGTCTTATGAGGAAGTAACTGTTAAACACTCCAGAGTTCCCCTTCTTTTCAGTGCTTTCCAAAATCCCCGGTTTGGCTTTGGTTTAATTTAGCTGAAAAACATATGAGTTGTTCTAAATTAAACATAAGCAATTGTTCTTACTTGGCAGCTGTGGTCACTCTGAAGTGTGGAACTAATTATGAAGCAAACCAGCATGAAAAAGGTCCTTTTTTTTTAGGCACTAATTATCAAATGATGTCTGGCAATATTGCTTTATCCCATAAATTTGTCACACAAGCTTACGTGCTTGCCATGCTAAGACCTTCCTTCCTTCCTTCCTTCCTTCCTT